CAAGGGCGGATTCCAGACGCTACAGACAAGACCTAAGGAGACAAGGAAGCAACAAAAAACATCCCACCAAGGGTGGGCGCAGGGGGCACCAAACTAGGTAGGCAAGAAGCTGAGTCCATAACAAAAAACCAACCCACCCAGGGTGGACGGAGGGAAATAAAAAGGAAAAAACAAACTGAGTCCCAGAACAAAAAACAATCCACAAAAGGTGGACGTCAACAAAGAAAGTCTCAGATATTTTACCGGGAGACACCTGGTAGCAGCTCAGAAAAAGGTGCAGGGCGGGGCCGCCCACTGCGGCACCGGAGCAGACTCAGAGAGGGCCGCCGACTGCAGCTCTGGTTGCAACAAGGAGAGAGCCGCCCACGACGACTCCGGTGCAGCCTCCGAGGTGTCCTGAGGCGCCCACCGAGGGCCCCTGGATGCTCGGATCGGCCGAAGAGGGACTCCAGAAGGTTCTGCGGAGCGGGAACTGGTTGACTGACTGGAGGCATGGCAGGAGGGAGACCACGATTCAACATGTCTACGAGCCCAATCTATATGAGGGTTGTGTCGCTCCAACCACTCATATCCCAGAACCAAAGGAGAACAGGCTGAAGGGTAAACCAAAAAGGTTATGGTCTCTTGGTGACTACCAGAAACTTGAAGTTGCAGAGGCTGAGTCTTGTGGGTAACTTGGTGTAGACTCCTTCCATCAATGGCTGAGACCTTAAAAGGCTTCCTCAGAGGGATGGTCTCAATGTTCAGCTGCTGAACCAGATTTGGGTCGATAAGGTTCCTCTCACAACCAGAGTCTATAAAGGCCGACAGAGTATGAGTCTGATCAGAACAAAACAGAGTGGCAGGTAACAAAAGATGAGGAGACCTTCTATTTAAATCATGCTTCACCAGACTCCTCTTAAATCCAGATGACCCCCGAAGCCCTTTCTTCGCAGGACAGGAAGAAACAAAATGTCCAGGTTTACCACAATAGAAGCAAAGTTTCTTCTTAAGCCTTCTCTTCCTCTCATCGGGCGTGAGCCTGGTGTGACCTATCTGCATAGGCTCCCCCTCAGCAGGTTCACAAGCTGGTGGAGCAAAGTGAGCTTT